CTTTCCCTCTCTGTCTTTTTCTTGGCTTTAAAAAGAGAGGGAGAGAATTTTAAGCCTCGCTTAAAATCAAAGTAACATTGGTGCAACCGGGTCTTAAATTAGACGTTTTAATTGTAAGATTAGCTGTGAGAGAGAAAGTGAGAGAGAAAGAGAGAAAATAGAAAGTAAAAAACGCGTTCCTCGTTTTCGCATTTGATCGAGATTAATCATTCAAAGCTTGTATGTATCCGATCGGCTAAAAGAAATCGGCGATCCCGCCTTCAGATGCATTGTACAACGGTCGATCGCGTGGTGGGCCATTTTTATTTATAATCACAAAATGTAAAGACTGTTGTTTAATAAAGCTGTCGTTCTTTTCTTGGTATACGTGGTAGTTTTCTCGTCTCTATTATTATTGCGATGAAATAGCCCCTTAGGTCAATCACGATAATCAGCGCGGATAATCTAAATTGCATCTGCATGGTATTGACGCTTACGTACATTGGTGTAACGATAAACTCTATCGCTCTTATGGATATCTTTTGACAAGTTGCCGTAGGCAGAGAGGTAGCCCGATAAAATTTTCCACGTAGTAACGTACAGGAAAAGACCGACATTGTCATGCGTTATTAGGATATTGCAACAACTCGTTATTGAGAAATGAATGTTGCTGATATTGTTCTAGTGAATTTGTGCATTTATGTAATGGCAACAAAATTAATTGAGAATTTATATTTTGAATTTGTATAGTTTTCGAAGAAAAAGAGAAAAAAGATAAATTTCAAAATAATGCAAAACAAGTGTTTTGCATTAAGTGCAAAGGAAGTGTTTTAGTTATTAAGTACACGCGATGTATTTATGTTCTCGTTATGTAATTTACAAACTGCATTGATAAATCTGCGTAAAGTATGTTTAATGCAATTAATTTTCATTGTTGTATATTTAAAGATACTAATAGGAGATTGTCATTCCTCGAATAATTTTCACTTTACATTAGATATATAAAAAATTATCTCCATTTATGCCATTTAATTTTTACTTACGTTACAAAGTTTAAGTTAGACATTATCGTTATATCGTTGTATTTGCCTATGTAACTTTCATAATACATAAAACATTGGAGTTACATGTAAAATTCTTATTTTTCTATATTTAGCGTTTTATGCTAAATAATTTATAATAATAAGTTAACAAATTTAAATGACAAAATGTTAAAAAAAAAATAGATCCATTTAGATCTCTTACATATAAATATCAATGAAAAATTTACATTTTGTTTTTCATTTAATATGCATTTCTGAAACCATTGGTACTGTATTTATTTGTTTATATTTTATCTGATTATATAACGCTGTTACGTGAAATACTTAAATGAAATAATACCAAATTATTGTGTATAATAACACTAATAACTTTGGAATATCTGCAGGCAAATACATTAAGACGGTTACATTTTTACTAAAAAATTTTTTTTAATTAAAAAATATTCATATATAATATCTTTTTCAAATTTTATCTTATTTTTAAAATCTCGATAACTTATATTTTTCGGGAAAAATTTGAAACTCATGTTCTAATAATTTCTATTTAAAAAAGTAACTTCAGTGGAAAATTTTAGTATTTTGTATACATGCCTATTATTTTCTTTGTTTTCAAAAAACAGTTGCTCACATTACTGTATGGCAACGTGATCAGCAAGTGTTACGTAAAGACGACGAATTTAAAAATGTCATACGATGTAGAGAGCAAATAGCAGGGATTATGGTAGCTAGACTACCCCTCCGTCTTGTATATCGATTGTACGCGGAATCGTCTTGACCCTGCAAGACCCACACGACCGCGAGACGGGCGCAATTGAGGATCGTCCCTAGTGAATCAGTGTAACGATACCGCAAATGTTGCATGCGTGCGTACATATGTGCATACGTGCGTGCGTGTGTGCGTGCGTCATTTGTCTCGGTTTCAACGCGCAAAGTTAGCATTGCCACGTCAGTACCGCAATTGTCCTTCTTGTTGGCTCCGTTGCAACATTTCCTTCAAAAAGATCCCTTAAATTTCATAGATGCGACAAACCGAGCGTGTTTGACAATTCGTAAAATAAAATATTTATTATCAAGTTTAATAACATAATTAATTTGCACGAATATAATTAGAGTTCTTCAGTGCACGAATGTCTTACACAAGATTTGTATTAAAAATATATACGTAACGTTTATACATATTTATTATTATTGTTCTATTCTTCCTGCTCGATCGTTATCAGTTTCGCAAAATTGTTGGTAAGTATGTCGACCTTGAATATTCTTTCACATCATTTTTTGCTATCATATCGGTATCATGTCGATGAAATCATTCGGTATGTTTTAAATCAATAAAATGCAGCGATCACTATCATTTTCTATAGTTTGCTCCCATTACGTCTGCAAGCAAGTACGGCTCTGATCGTCGTTGCATAACCCGCAGCAGCACACTGTCACGCACCATCGCGCGTTGGCGGAGCATATCTCGTGCACGTGCGTTCGATGGTGTCTGCGGCGCGCGATGCGTTTGCGGTTTCGTCAAGAATCTCCGTGCGATAAGCGTATAAGCAGAGGGTTGGGAAAGTTATTTTTTAAAAGTAATTCGTTATATGTTATCGAATTAAAATAGTAATTAGTTGCTGTTACCAGTTATTGATTCTTAAAAGTAACTCGTTATCATTACGGTTACTGGACGGTTGCTCGTTATCATTACTTGAAAAGTAAAGTCTGAGACAGAATTAAAAAACACAGGCAATAGGAACAGGGAATAATATATTTCAACCTATATCAAAAACCGTTGTATTCTACTTTATAAATTTCTTGAAGTAAAATCTCACTCCAAAAGAGTTAAAATACTGTCACTATTAAAAAAGAGTAAAAACATTTGCACTCTTGAATAAGAGTGACAGATTTTTACTCTTCTTTTTGGAGTGAGATTTCACGCTTTTGGAATGAGATTCACTCCAAAAGGGAGTGACATTTCTTTCTTTCGAATTGAATCTCACTCCAAAAAACAGAGTGAAAATCTGCCACTCTTATTCAAGAGTACATATATTTTCATTTTTTTCAATAATAATTATATAATATATTAATACATTAATAATAATATATTAATATAATATTCATTTTGATGTACGTGCGTGCGTACTTCTTTTCAACTTCCTATAATATGATAGTGGGAGATAATAAAATATAATGTATTATACATATTTTTCAACTTTTATCGTAAAATATAACGTATACATATTTTTCAGCCGTCTATCATAAAAATTTATCAATTTTACTGAACTTTCACCATTTAAAAATAGAACAAAAAAATAAAATCATAATTAAAAATTAATTAAAACATACCAAAACATTTATAAAATTATAATTAAAATAGAATAAAAGTTACGTATGAAATCATGTCTCTTTGAATTAGTTTTGATCGCAATTTATATCTTCTTTCACACTTTCACTTAAAAAGATAGACGAAATCATTTATTAATTGTACATATATTTGTCAGTAACAGTAAGGAACTTTTTTATTCCCATTTTTAATATTTATGGCCTGTATTCAAAATGTGTTTTTACAATGTTATCGCGTATTTAACATATAAGTTTTATCATGTATTTTATTATGTACATAATAAATAAAGCTATTCTCAACTCTCCTCCATTCAAACAGCATACCTGAGAAAGAGAGAAAAAAAGATAAAAATTTTTAATGCTTAATTTTTTTTTTTTTCCATTTCTTCGCACACATATTACTCCTTTACTTTAAAAGTGACACAATTCAGAAAATTAGGTTTTTCAAAAAAAAAGAAAAAATTATATATAAATTCAACTTGACAGAAAATTATTGACTAATCAAATAATTATCGGCAAAAAATAAGATATTTTGTTAATATATTCAAATATCATTTTTATTTTCATTTCGTAGTCCTTAAGAACCACTCTTTTTGAGTTATGACAATTTTTTTTAAACCACCTTTTTTGAGTTTTGTGACGAATTTTTATAAAGTTAATGTCCATTTTTTACCAATGTAGATTAACTTTAATCTCAGTTAATTTTACTCTTTATCTTTTTCTAATTCTTAGAACTAGAGAAAGATAAAAAATAAGTTAAACCAAGGTAAAAGTTAATTTACATTGGTAGAAACAAGCATATCTAAGTCAGTTATTTATCTTTGATGACTAATGGGGTAATGCTTATACCTAACTTGTTCATGATAATAACGAAACTTACGTTTTTTTGAATTGTGTCACTTTTGAACTAAAGAAACGATGTGCTAAATAGACATGAGAAAAATTCGGCGTCTGCATATTCATATATTTTAATTATATAAAAAAATTATATAAAATAATATAAATTATATAAAAATTATATAAAATTATATAAAAAAAAATACATAACACAAAAGAAGCTTTTATGTAATGCGCAATTACATCTTTTTCAGTCAAAACCAGTGAAAATCATTTAAGAATCAGGAGTCGCGTCGAGAGTGTCGAGACCAACAATAACGCGCATGCGCGCTAGATCGAGCTCGCGCTCTTGCGTGCAATCTCTTTCTCGAGAGCCCACGAGAGCCTTCGGATATGTTAGGATATGTAGCGCTATTCGTAGGCTATTCGCTACCGCTCTATTGGCCATGGTTCGACCGATTAGTCAGTCGCGTCCAATTATTCGTGCGGCATGCGCGCGGCAGTCGAGGACTCCTTATTCACCGATTCTCGTTCGCGAACGTCACCCGTTAACCGCTGTCTATCGTTAGCGAGCAGGGTCCACGGTCGCCTCGACCTGAGCCTCGCCGTCGCGGCGATTTTAAGCCGATTGACTGTATCGGCATCGTCCGATAACGCGCAACGATGCTGAGTCTTTTTGAGAGCATAGCGGATATCCCGAAACTCTACTACGGCGCATTGCTAGGCATTGGATTTTGCATCTATTATCTCTACGAGGTTGTTAAGGTAAGTAAAAGAAAAGAGTGAGTCAGCATATCTGATATAAAAAAAAACAGGTGTAATATTACACATAATAGCGATAGCATACTGGAACTGCTGCAGTCATTTGGTTCCAAATTCGCTCTCCTATTGCGCTTCTACGGGAATGTTACACCTGTCTTATATTAGGTCTGTCGCGTTGTGTACACTTTTTATACTCAGCATCTTCGCTTTCTCTCTTTTTAATACCCGAATATATGTTCATCTCGTTTTAAGTGCAAAAACTTTTGGGGATTTCAAGCAACGCGAACAAACCTATTACATCGTGGAATCAATGACAATTTATTTGTAATCACATCTATGGGCGGTATTCATAGTCGGGTCTTATATTCAAGACCGTCTTAAGCACATTCTTAAGAAGTCATGAACCAATCAGAAGGTCGCATTAGTGACTTAAGACATTACTCAAGACTATCTTGAAATAAGAATCGACTATGAATACCGGCCTATGTTTAATCACATCCTATGATCTATCGATGATATATTACGTAATATGTATTTTGAAATAAGGTGAAAATGATAAAAATGAGTCAATTTACTAGAATACTTATCGTAGATCTGTTCACTTGAAAATGTTGCACTTAAAATGAGATAAATATATATTCAGGCGTGAAGATTGAAACAGAAAGCGAAAATTCTGAGTGCAAAAGGTGCAAACAATGCGAACAGACCTAATATAAGACTTATCCCTATAAGCGCATAATATTATTTAATATTAAATAATATTTTAGGCTTATTCTCAGAATATTAAATATAACATTTTAATAATATTTTACTAAAATTATATAATATTAAATAATATTCCTGAAATATTAATGAATGGTTA